GAATGAGAATTACTTCTTTTAAAAGCTCTTTTCTCTCCATTGAAGTCACCCTAGGAAGAAACCTTTCTTCTAGTCACCTTGAGCGTTTCTCTTTGTAGATTTAGGAACCCCTAATTCTATTCGAGACTCTTGGCTCATCCTTGGTCAATATTGCTTCTCTTGTTTGCTACTCTCCCTTGGATAATCTTCAAGGATCCGTGGAGAAGTTAAAATCAAGATCATGGAGATTCAACTCATGAAGACTCCATCACATCCCTAAAGGATGAAGTAGAGGATCTTATAAAACAAGGACAATTAAAAGGCTTCATAGGAAGATATCAGTCACATGAGGAGTCAGGTCAATCACAAGAAAATTATGGTAAGGATTACTTCACCGAAAGTCGTGAAGGAGGTTATGATGAGAAAAGTTCAGAGTGAGATCATAATGGATCGAAAGAGACGAGGTTAGTTTTAGAGATGGAAGTTATTTTCATTTTTGAGTTAAAATAAATACTAGTATGATATTATCCTTCCAATACATTGACTATTTTAATTTTGGTCTGTGATTTTAAACATCCTTTTATTAATTCATGACATGAAATTTATTGTATTAAATTAGCCTAAAAAAAAGTAACTAAATTAATGTTCAAAAAAAATCATAAACATAATAAAAATTGCATGCAAATGAATCTCTCAACTAAAAAACTAAAGAAAAAAAATCTAATATCATTTTTTTCTCAATTTCTTGTGAACTCATTTTAGAAGCACTTTTTTTTATCATGTTTGTGGCCCTTTTTAGTTTGATTATTAATTGAGTGTATAATTTTTATATTGGTGAATTTAATGAATCAAATTTTATATCTTATAATAAATCAAAGTCACATGCCAAAATAATAATAATAATAACAATAAATATCACTAATTTCAAATAATAACATTTACTTAAATTTTAAAATTAAAGGACCAAAATGAATATTTTAAAAAATAAAAAACCAAAATAAAATTTAATAATATATCTAATTTAGTTATTGGAAGATGATAGAAGAGACTGATAGGTCCTTGAAAGATTTTTTGTGACATGTGGATTTCTATGTTTTAATTATGTTATGTAAGTTAGTCATTATGTTATGCTTAATTACTAATTTTGTTAGTCTCATGACCAGCCAACAATTAATTATCACATTGACACATATTTTCTCTTTCAGTTGGCATGCAACTACTAACTAAGTAGATTTTGACATGTGACAAGGTTTAATTTTTAATTTAATTTTAAAAGAACTAAAGTGACATTTAAATGACTTATTTCTTCATACTCAATCTCATTCTCGTATTCCATTTCATCTATGAAACCCATCTGCGCGAGAAAAAACTCATTTCTACGAGACAAGTGTTTGAGACATTATTGAAGAGGAACATCAACCAAAGCGTCAGAGTTGTAGAGGACAAGTGAAAAATAAATTTCCTAAGTTTTTGATTGTTCATGAAATCCTTAACAAAGTCTTATTTCCATAGTAATAGAGAGGACCATCACCAATAAGCTTTTCCTCACTTCTATTAAAGGAGTTTCGTGATTCATTAAATATAACAGAATCACCCATAAATCATTTATGCATCCTTGCTTGAGATCCTTTAGAACAACCACTCATTTTACCAAATCCCAAATTCAATAATTTAGGATTTATAATCCTAAACTTATATAAGAACAAATGAAGAAATTAAGGATGACTGAGATAGAAAAAATTTGACTACAAAAAATCTTACGAAACCTAACAACAACCTTCTATTTTAACCAGAGCACCATGAGCAAAATATTTAAACATAGAGCTATTAATTTGAGCTCGATCCAGCTAGCCCACAAATAAGGTCAGACTAAGTCTTAAAAAGAATGACTTAAAAAGAATTAGATCATTTTGATTTGACTTGTTAAGCTCGGCAAGTCAAATAGGCTCAAGTTGGGCTGACCGATAAACTAATAATTGAAATAATCTAAATGAACATCAATATGTAATGTGTTATAAAATAATAGAATAAAATATAATAATACTACAATAGTAATAATCTTTCATGTTTTTGTATTTGCTTACAAGCTTAGAATTAAGATTAATCGTTGTGAGAGTTTCACCACTCCCATAATCTTATTGTCCCCTTGATGACTTAATCTCGTGACTCATCATTTTTGTTTTGTTTGTCAAAGAAGACGAAGATATAGTCACATTCGTGTCCTATGATCATGGAGTGACGATAATGAGTCACTATCACTACTTAGACCATGAAATTCTAAGGTATCACACTTTACTTTATAAGAAAATCTTCTCTCTTTTATGATATGATTTTTTTCCTACTCAACTATTCAAATATATTTACCTAGCTAATCAACAAGTCCTTTTTTATGACATTTTTTTATCTCATTTCAGTTATCATTTGTTACTTTATTTTCTGTTGTTGGTGTTGTCCCCTAGTTCCAACTCTAACCAAATATCAAGTATGCTAATTTTTTTATATTTCTATAAATAGGTCAATTTAGCCCGATGGTAATTTAATGTAAAATAACATTTGACCTATGTAAGTTAGGTTAAATCAATCTAATCCATTTGATATCTCTATCTAAATATGAAAAAATATTCATTGTTAACCAAAAGATACCAAAATTTTACATTATGATCCATATTAGATAATTAAAAGAAAAAATAACTAACTAAAAAGAAACAAAAAATATGCTAATTTAACACTTATCACCTAATTGTTCAAGAAATTATCAAAATTAATAATTAAATATAATAAAATGACTAATTTGCATAACTAAGTTAAAATTTAAAAATCTATATGTTAAAAAAGTCTTTTAATAACCTAATAACCACATCTACTATCTTTCAAAGACTAAATTTACTCAATAAAAAAAACCAAATACATATTTTGGCAGATTTAATAAGTAAATTAATATTATTATAATATACATACCAAAGTTTTACTTTGATGAATTATACAACCCTTAATTGTGATGAGCAAAACCAGTGTGACATGAGTACATCAACAACAGCCACACCACACAAAAGTTCGCATAAATTTACAAAGCAAGCCAATACATATATCCCTTTGGGGGATTCAAACTTAAAATTGCTCAACTAAGGATTCTTAATAGATACTCATTACATTTAATGAAATACCTTTTCAACATAATAAATTACATATCATCATGGAGGCCTATTTCCCAAACAAGGATTTGATCCACCAAATGCCTTTGTTGTCTTTGGGGCCTTCATCTCCCTCTGGTGGAGGATCGCTCTGAGGGGTCTTGTGGAGTTTGCTCACGTCATATTTCTCTGTCGTGGCTTTCTCAAGAAGCTGGTTGTAGATTTCATCCTCCAAATGGGTTTTCCTGCATAATATCTAGGATTCAAATTTTAATAAAGTTGCGTCAGGAAAATCAAATTACCAACAAATCATAAATAAGATATACAAAATCAGTTAGCTGTTAAGATGAAATTCCAATGTTTTCATGTCTCATGTTGATTTTTTATTCTAGTTTAAAATTACACTTACGGCACCTAAATCGTGACAAATTGCAGAAAACTGTACTTATATAAAGCCCCATTATCTGAGATTAAGAAGTATCGACATGTTTGAGTAAATTTTTTCAAAAGTATTCCTGAAAAAGAAAAATATTAAAACAATTTTTTCTATGAAAAAAAATAGTTTATATAATTAAAAATAAAATTTTTAAAAAACTAACATAAGAAAGTTTTTTTTATTTTTTTATTTAAAGTATACAAGCGATAAAAAGAAAAACAAAAATAAAAAAAAGAACAAGAAACTAACTAGCCTCGAGGGTTGAATAAATCCATCAAGTCGGCAATTAAAAGACGAATGCAGTAAGGACTAAGGAGCTTCCTGCGACACAACAAGACCTGGGCTGAAGAAGCACCCGGATTTTGTCGGTAGCATAAAGTTTTTATTACTTAATTTATTTGTAAGTTAATTTTAATTTTAAAAAAAATGTTAATATTTTCTTTTTTTAATTATTTTTTTATCGTATAAGTGGATAAAAAAGTTTACTCAGATAAACTTTAATGTTAAATAGTTCCATTGTAGAACAGAAATTATCCCCCAACAAAATAGACCACAATAACAGTCTCACGCAAAGCCTCCTTATGCAATCAAAAGGCTATTGTCATTTTACTCTGTGTTCTAACTTCTAACACCTTTTCGAATTAAAAGCCTCCATATGCAATCAAATTTCCAAAACAAGATGCAAGGTTTCAAAAAAGGCAACAACAATTGAACCGTAACATCAAGATTATTTTTTGAGGTCACCAACGTCGTGACCACATAAAACAAATTATATTCATCCATAATTTTTCACGGTATTAAGAATCGTCACAAAACCATGTTAGCAATTTAAAACCTCGCCAACAAAAATTTGAGACATAAAATTAAAATTGTAGAAGGCAAAACTCGTTACTTAAATAAAGACTTCAACGGAACATTCTCAAACATACTTCCACTTTAGTCATATACATATTTTCTAAAAGAAATTAGTTATAAATAAAGTTAATGACTTCGTATAAATGAAGTACTTCTTTTTTTTTATTATTATAAATCAAAAACATATACATATTTTTTTTCTTAATCTAAATTTTAATCATTTTTTCTCCTTTAATATATGATCTTTCTTTTAATGTTTTTTAAATATTTACAACAAGAATTTTTCTTCAAAAGTATTAAAAAACTCAATATTATGCATAAAACTAAGGGGAAAAGAAAAACAGAAGGAAAAAATTGGAAACTTACCCAAAGGTATTTCCTGGTTGGTTCACCAATCAAAGCATACTGATAATCATCATCCACGTACAAGACCCAGTAGTTGCCAACAACAGGAATAATGGGCAAGAAAGGAGGAACATAGAACTTGACCTTGAGCTTGGCTTCATCACTCTTGGGGTCAGCTTTGTATGCAGATCCCTCTATGGAAACTCTCTTGCCATTACTCCAAGTCTCGTTGAGCACGTGCACAGTCCCATCTTCATTAAGAGTGTATGTGGCTCTGGTGTTCTCACCGTTCCTTGGCTGAAAAAATGAAGGGAATGAGGCTATCTCGTACCACCTCCCCGTGTACCTTTGCAAGTCCAAACCCCTCACAACTTTCAACTCATTCTCGGCCATTGAAGGGGGGAAGGAAATTACACGACACTCAGAGAAACAAAGATTTCTTTGCCAAGGTTTCTAAATTAGTGTTTCTCATAAGGTTTCCAAAGTGGATATATATAGATAGGTGTCTATCAAGATGAAAAGCTTGTACACCAATTCTTGAATTATCCTGCAAACTTAATTAGTGCTAACTCGGTAACTCCTTTTTTTTTTATAATAAAAATAAAAAAAATTACAAAAATAATAATAATAAATATTGAACCTAATTTCTCATGCTTCTAATCCGCACCTAACTAATAAAGTAACTTCTTCTCTAATTATAAGTCTTTCTTTTAACTAAGTTATACTTTTTAAAAATTTGTTAATCTAGATAAAGAAAATCAATAATTTAACTTACTTAAAATTAATTATTTTTATCTAAATAATTAATATTTTTTTCTATCTTAATAAAAGAAGGAATTTTTATTAATTAATTTTAATATTTATTATTTTTATCTAAAATAATTATTTATTAAATAAAATATTTTTAAAAGATATAACTATAACTAGTACGATTGATAATTAAAAGAAGGTGTTATGATAAGAGGTAATATAAAAGTGAAAAAGCCTTATATAATTATATATGAAGATGAAGGTAGTGAGATATAATTATATTTTTATTCTTTTAAATTTAGAATATATGCTTCTTATTGGTGTTTTTAATCATTAAAATATAAAATATTTTTATTTTACCTTTTCAAATTTAAAATTTATTTTATTTTTTATAATTTTAAAAATTAATGTTTTAGTTATTAAAAATTATTTTTTTAATTATTGTTTTAGTAAAGGAACTAAAATAATAAATTTTTTTATAGATATTTTAAGAATAAATATATAAGTTTTAAATACAAAAAAAAATTTAAATTTAAAAAATTAAAAATACATTTATAGTTTAATATTAAACACAATAATTTTAATAAATAATTAATTTTATTATTTTACATTAAAATGTATTGTTAAAAATTACAATTACACTATAAATAAATATTTTTTTATTAATATAATTTTAAGATAATTATTATAAAAATTAAAAATTCGTGATATATTATAATTTATAAATAGATGATAATATAAAATTATTTTATATTATTAGTGTATAATATGTTTTCTCTTTTTTAAGTGTTTCATGGCTATGTATTATTACCATAAACAAATTAGATTGTCAACCAATAAAAATATTATTTGATTGACTTTTAATTATGTAAAAGTTAGAAAACTTGTTTTATATTTGTAATTTGTAATTTGATAACGTAATAAAATTGGTTTACATTTTCTGTTCATGGTCTTTTGTTTCCTCTTCTTGTTAATAGCTGTGTTTATGAACATTTATGTTATTTTTTTTCATCATTTTAACTATGTATTATTTTTACTACTGTTTATGATTTTTTTTTATCATGTTAACTGTATCTTTTATAAACATTTATGATTTTTTTTATATCGTTGTATGAGTATAAAATATTTATTAATTTATTAAGAACTTGATGACTATTATTAGGAAGACATCTATTCTCAATTACAAATGTTTTTTCACATGGTTCGAAACAAAATTTATTTAAGGGGTTCAATTTTATTAAAAACTTGATGACTATTATTCGAAAGACATCTATTTTTAATTACAATTATTTTTTCGTAAGGTTCAAAACTAAAACTTTATTTATGGGATTCAATTTTAATTCTACTCCGACTATGATTATGGTCATTTATATTCTTTTTGGAAAAAAAAATCTCACAAGAATTTATGTTTTAACTTTAAATTTAAGTTTACTACTCACACATATATATCAAATTTTATTAAAATTTAAAAATAATTAAATTATTTATATTTTATATATTTTAAAATTACATTAATTTTAATTTATATAAATAAA